TATGCTCCTAGGTGACTCCACAGCAAAGCTCCATGCATTCTCACTGCTCTCCCACATAAAGGACAACTTACCCCTTTGCTGTCCAGCTGGTTCTTCCTGAAGAGCCTGTACTCATCCACCACAGCACTGCAGCCCTATGAGCTGTCCTATCATTTATGCATGATCCCAACAAGATCCTAGCCCTGAAACTGAGTGCAGACCTCAAATTCCTTCCATTTGTTCCCTTACTATGAGTGTTAATGTATGGGCATTCTAGAGTGGCACTCGGTTACGACAATCATCCAGAAAAAATCTGAGACCTTCCCCCATAATACACATGGAACAAATCCAAAGGCATGCAAGCAGCACTATTTGATAAATCTGAATTCCAGATACATCATCTAGTCTTCTATCAACAAGCCTGAGATCAACTAGAGGCACTCAAAAGCATGTGACCTGCTCCAGTCAACTGCTTTATATACTCCTGGAACCAGGTTTCACCCAAATGCAACAACTGCTTTTGAAGACAACCACATCATGTCTGTGTGCAGGTAAAACATATTTACCTTCCCACTATATTCACCCAATTGAATTCAATTAATAGGTCACTCTGGTTTCTGCAATTTATGTTAAAACTGCAAGAATTCTAAAAAACTACAGAAAAGGGCATAAAACCTCTTAGTTCTAAGATGCTGAAGAAACCAAACTGAAACATTCAAATTCCTGTGTACACATATTACTTCTTCCCCTTTAAAGGTGAAACATATTCTTGTAGTGCTCTTCCCCTACCGTATCAGCCTACACTCAGCTTTCAGAATTGCTCCTTAGGTAAAATATTTAATTTCAGTTTTTCTCCAAGATGTAAACATTAATCAAAAAATAGAAACGTAATTGTTTTTAAAAAAGTAAACACACTGACCACAGTTATACCATGTTAAATGTGAAAATCAGATCACTTAACAGAGCTGCAAGTATGCTTAGTGAAACACAGCTGTTCAATGCAAAGTCACATTTATCATTTTGTTTTAATGACTACCAGAGACAAACAATTTCTTAAAAAAATATACATTAATATTAGTTTTTCATTTCAATCTTTAATAGTCTCCTTCTTGCTGATTTAAGAACAGTGTACAATAAAATTAATTCTTTCATCTGTTGGACAGATTGAAAAAAAAAAAAGCTGAAGTTTGAAGTCAATGGAGCTAAAGAAAATGGCTGCCAAAGTAAGAAAGCTGCTACAGGCATCCAGTGAGGCAAGACAATGATGAACTCTAAAGGGAAAAGAAGACTCAAATTAATATTATTTTGTGTTTTAAAACCCAATAATTTTGGAAAAAAAAAAGACTGGGCAATAGCTTGTTCAGAAATTCTGTCAAAGCAAGCATAAGCACTTGCTCTCAAGAGTCACATTACTAACGTAAAAGCCCAAAGGAGAATGCTTGCGCTGCTCAGACATTATTCGTGCCAGGAAGGGTCCAGGACAATTCCAGTGCAGACCCCAGTTCCCAGCAGGAGATGCCATACAGAGAGCCTTGAGCTTTATTCTTACCAGACCTCGGGGACACACCTCACTGCTCAGAGTCTACATGCTTAACCACAGGAGTCCCTGCTCAGCATCTGCAAGGGAAAGCATTTAAGAGTGCAGGCTATTTCCTGAGCAAGCAGACACCCATCCCCTTCCAACCACAACCAGCCTTCCCCGGCTGCCAGAGCACAGGCTGAAGGAGAACGCTGGGGCTGGGTAAGTGCTGCCATTACCCACCACAGAGCTGAACTTTTGCCCTCCGACACAGCTGCCCCTCTGCCCCTTACTCCTTAGGCTGGGATAGGCTGTGAACAAGCGTGGGAAGCGGCATTTAGTTGGCTCAAGCAGCTGTTGTCGGCATCCTCCAGAAAAAACAACAGACTGGAGAGAAGCCGATCAAACACCACCATCGGTCTGCTCCGGCTTAAATGAAGTCAGGAATTCAGTGCTTGGATCCCCTCCTCCATCTCCCTCAAGCGAAACAGAGCAACAGACATGCCAATGTGACAGCTTTTTTTCTTGCCATCCAACACTAAAAGCAACAAGAACATTTTAATCCATCAAAAATGGCCCTGAGATTCAGCACATGGTGAACTACTCACAAACTGATTTTTAAGCTCACCTTAGAGATCACTACATTTTCAGACAGAGACAGTCTATTGCTCTAGGTATTTTCACCAGTAAATTAAATGAAAATTGAAAAACAGCCAAACAGCACACAGGCTGCAAAGTAGCAAATGCCGAGCTAGTAACTTTAGACTTAACATCAGATTGGTCACCCATAATGACAAGCATGTACTGATTCCTTTCACAAAACTTTAATACTGAAAGTCAAATCTGTAGCTTTAAATTTGTAATATAACAATACTGATAAAAATAACATAATAGAGGAACTGCCTTAAAGAAGCAACAAAAGTAAATTTTAGAAGAAACTTTTACGTTACATAGAAACTTATTTTGCCATTTCACTGAACATTTAAAATTGAACATAGTGAAAAAACGCAACTGCAACCCTGGAAATATTATCTACCTTTTTAAATGTCATTAATGCAGCTCCACATGCCAGCTACTACACATCAACTCTCCACCTTTTGGAAAGAATCATTATAAACTGGGTAGAGTCCTTTCTTATTAATAGCATGCTTATATAAACCAAAATAAAACAGATCTTGCATCTGTAATGGTGAGCTTCAGCAAAGCACCAACTTCTGAAGATGGAAAGTCCAGGACAAGCATCCTGAGGGGGAAGACCTGAGGGGGTCTTCCACAGTCATAAAAACACATTAGGAGAGTGCTGCCTACAGACAAAGTCCTGTCCTTCACCATAACCACATCCCTCCTACACACAACTGCCAAGGACCTCCTGCACAAGTCAGCTCTGGGAAATGATTTTCCTGAGCACTAATATAATGATGCAGCAGGCTGAGCCAGATTTCAGAAGCTGCCCATAATTCTTTGTCAGATGGGTATGACTATGCAACTACACATCCAAATACAAATTTAATCTAAAATGGCAACCAGTAATGTTCTTCTGAGTTGTCAATGGAGCAATGACTGGACAAAAGCATAACACCCAATGAAATAATTTATTGTTATTGGCTTTGCCTACATTTTTCCCTTCTTAGGGCGACCTTTAATGTAAGCCTAAGCTAATATGCATCAAGAGAGACAGTCTAAACTGAAAAGCTGTAAAAAAATAGCAAACCCACTTGCTTCAAATATTTTGAAATGAGAAAGGGAGTATTTTATTTCATTGAAAAAAATTTTGTTAAAAAAAATAAAAACACAGCACAAAGTGACCCACAAAAATGCAGAAAACTGTTCTTCAGTTTCAAGAACTTTTGCATTCAAGGACACTGGATAGCAGTGGGAGATATGAGTGCTCACAAGGTAAGGACAACTAAAGTTTTAGAAATTACTTATTTCCTCTGCTATTCTCAAATTAATCTTGAGTGTTCAAAAGGATCATTTCACATGAAATTTCACATTTCGCATGGAAAAAATGCTTTGACAAGCTCTAGCTTTTCAAAGTACTTTCACGAAAAGGTTCAGTATAAACGCGAGATTTCACCTATGATTTAGCAGTTCTTCCTCCCACCGCTCACAGTGCCTTCTGATATACAAACAAGATGTAAACCATTTCCAGCAAAGTCAGAAACTGGACAAATTCTACTGAAAAAGAAATCACAAGTTTTTTTCAGGCTTTTCCTGTTATCTGTAGATCTACTTTCCTTCTACCCTGTGTTATGAAGGTGCTAGAGCTTATACAACACAGTTAGCATAGCTGGCCTTGGTAAATTAGCTCAAAGCTAAATCAATTGATGGATGGGCTGCACACGATGTACAGTCTCAAATGCAGTCAAACACACAGCTTACTCAAAATTAAAGCAAGTTTTCCCCTTTTGTACAGATAACATACGATTGTCATGAGAGTCGGAGTGTCTGATAAGGCATTATTTATGAACGCTGGACACCACCCTTCAGATTTCAAAGGCATTAGCAAAGAATGTAGAGTAAATCAAATAAAAGAAAAAATCTTGGGATTTTAATGCCAAATTTTGTCCATATTTATAATCTTGATGAAGTCACTAAGCACAAGAAAAGAGTAAAATCTACTAAAGACACAGATCTACTAAGATCACAAGTATTCTGTGAAAATTAGTTCAGTTCTCCAACCATGCTAGAGGGGATAAAGAACAAAGGGTAGTTTGTGCTTACACCTATTTAAGCACTCAGTTACCTCTAGAGAAGTAGAGCATGGAAGACTTAATGACTGTTTTGTGACAGTCTCTCAGAGCAGGTCTCTCTTTTTTCTTAAGTAGTATGGTAAAAGATGCTTGCAAAACACAGTAATGACAGGCCTACGAAAATGCTCAGATTGCAACCTGTAACTTCATGAATTCCAAGCTGATATCTATGGACAGATATTCCAGAAAGCAAGGATATTTCCATTAATTCAAGCAGCACAGGACGAAGTTGCAAATACCCTGTCAGCAAACATATACCTAGTTTTCTTCACCGCACTCAACACTCGCCTAGCACGATAAGCGGATCCCAACACCCACCTCAGCCATCTGTTCGCAAAAAGAAGGGCTGCTGGCGAAGATGCGCGCAGGATGTACCGCACCCCCCCAAGAGGCACCCGCCGAGCGGCTCCGAGCGCGGCCGCCGCAGGGAGGGGCCGGCGGGGCTCGGTGCGGAGCCGAGACAAAGCGGGGAGCCCCGTCCTGCCGCCGTCCCCGCCCCGCGGGCTCCGCGCCGGGACCGAGCCCCTCGCCTTTGTCCGCCGCCCCCTCCCGCGGCACTGCCCCACCTCAGCCCCGCCGCCCCAGCATTGCCGGCCGGGGGGCTCTGTGAACGGGGAAGGCGGTGCCCAGGCCCGGCTCCCGCCGCCGCCACCACCGCCCGAGCACGCCCCGCCACAGCACAGGGGCGCGGCCCAGCCCGTCTCGCCCCGGGCGCCTGCCGCTGCCCCGGCCCGGCCACTGCCCCTCACCTTCCAGCCCCTCCATGGCGCGCCCCGACCGCTGGCTCTGGCTCGGGCTGCGGCTCCGGCTCCGCTCCGACCGCCGCTGCTGTGGCAACGCCGCCTCCCGGCCCTGCAACAACCGCCGCTCTCATTGGCCGGGCGGCCCCGCACAGCCACAGCCCCGGGGCGGCCTCTCCCCGCCCCGACCTCCCGCTCTGCCTCTGCTCCCGACCGCACCCCACCGGCGCGAGAACCCGTCACCCCCTCGCAGCCGCCCGGCGAAGGGAATCCCAAGCCCCGCTGCGCCCCGCCGGGCCCAGGTGGTGTCACTCGCCCTCAGGCTGCGCCCCTGGTCCGGTGTTCCCAAGGGAGCAGGGCACCGGATCTGGGCATCTCCCTGTAAAACACAGGCTTATCCTGGCTCTGGTGCGATCTGACGTGTCCTGTAGCCCATATGTCGAGGTTATGCTGTGATCGGGATCTTCTTCCAAGAGCAGCGCTTGTACGTGAATCACAGAATGGTTCGGGTGGAAGGGACCGCTGGAGATCATCCAGTCCAAGCCCCCAGCAAGGCAGGGTCACCTAGAGCAGGTTACACAGAAAGGTGTCCAGGTGGGTTTTGAATGTCTCCACAGAGGGAGGCTCCACGACGTCCCCGGACACTAAAGTGAAGCATAGAAAGAGCAATGACCGTGCGGTCGACACAAAGCATCTGAGCTGTCAGTCTCTGCGTGGACACGGACGGCAGCTGGGATGGTTCCAAGGACTCTCCACCCTCAGCACCCAGGACCAGAACAGACGGGTGCTGAGGTGTGGCGGTAATGGGTGTCCCTTTGCTTTTGAGAAAACCAGAACGATCACAGGAAAAATACACAGAAAAGTGGTTTTCAGGTTCACTTCCTGAAAATAATTGCAGACAGGGGATTCCTCCACTCCAACTTCTTCCTCTTATTTTCTTAACTGAAAGAGATGCTCCTAATATAAAATTAGTGTCTTGAGGGGGAATCTCAGGATAACATTTGAGTAATAGACGTTTTTGGAAAATAGTGCTACTAAACTGCTGTTAGCTAAAGAATATGAATAATGCTTTATACATATTGAAATTCTTCTGTTCGTTTTACAAAACCTCTCCACATTTTTAGCAACAAAAGTATTTCAAGATTTTTTTCTTCAAGACGTTATTTTGTAACTAATTTTTAAGATCTTTCATTTCTCTTTCCTGTGGCAATATTCCATGAGCAAATCATAAAGTTTTTCTATAAAAAGTATAATAAATGTCATAGAAATTACTACTGTCTTTACAGGCACATGCAAATCATTTCTCTTCTTATGCTAGACAAGTTGGTTGATACAGATTTACTTGTCCACAGAGCCACAGTTACTGTCCCAATCATAGTACATCTGCAAATGCAACTCAAGGAAAGCAAACCAAATACATAAAAACTACATTAAATTGGAGATTTTGAACATGTTGTCTTCTCTGCATTCCCTCAGCATGGAACAAATAGATCCAGATGTTGCATGCCAAACAGTCAGCGTGTAAATCATGATTAATATATGCTTAAACCATCATTTGAGACCAAAAGCTTGAATATATGTGGTAATTCTAGCTGCAATTTTTCTAGTTAGTTTAGAACCATAGAAAAATACATTTCAGAGTTGCTTTTGATTTATAGAGTTTATGCTTATAAAATTACAGGCCAGAAGCAACGAGTTTGCTACCAAGTTGCAAGAGTTCTAAACTTTGCAAATGATCCATTAAATCTTTGACACAGAACTTGTATAAGCCCATAGCTAGCAAGCATTTGCTGTTTAACTAACCATTAGGATAGTGTATCAGAAGTGCACTTCCTTTCATGGTATTTCCATACCAGAGGCGTAGGTGTTCTCAGTTTAGTGAAAGGTTTCATATTAGACGTGCATTTAGTTTGGTTTGGTTTGTTGTTTCTCTTTGAAATTTGAGGTTACTTTTGTTAAAATCGGGGCCACGTGGTAACTTCAGCTCACCCACCTTTAAGCGTCTACAGTGAGGTGTTCACTTCTGATCTACCTGTCAGGTTTCCTAGTAGAGTCTATAGAGATTTGTCTCTGAAGTTGATTTGGTCTATGGGATTGAGGGTGCAATCTGCTTGGCCAAATGTAACATCTATTTCAGGATGAGAGACGAGTAAATAGTCAACACCTGCATCAGAGTAGGATTCTACTGCAAAGCTAAAAGGTTCTTCTGGCTCTTGTGGATTGTGTCTGAACATTTATTGTGCAACTATGACTATGGAGAGCGTATCTTAAAGGACTCCTGATGCTGAAAAGTTCTGTCTTTTAATTGTGTTGTCCAATTGCAGAACAAGGGACTCGTCCTTCATGATCATAGCCACTGTGCTACATGAATGCCTTCATAAATTTACTTTCATACTGAAAAAAACCCAAGCCTGTGTTTTTCTTCTGTAGACCTACTATGCCAAAGGCAAGTATGTTCTGCCATGACATTCCTATAACATTTAGGAATTTCCAAACCATATGCTAAAATTATTAAATGCTAGTTTACACTGTGTATGCTTGTTTAAACCTTTATTTCTGGTTTAAAATTTTTATTGTTTACCTTGATGCATTCATAGGGAATTAGCATGTATTCTGTTTTCAGTATTCGGCTTACGTTAGCCTAAACAAAGTAGAGCTCTTTTGAACTGTCCTCAAAAACTATGCTTTCTATTTCCATAGTCATCATGGTACTCTTTATTGCACCTATTCCATGTTAGTTCATATTGCATATGTGATCACAAACTGTCTCTGAGAGGTGATCTTACTGCATCACTTAAGAGTTCTTTGCTTCTGCTGGGAATATTTCTATTAATACATCTTAGGTTACATTTGCTATGCTATGGTAAGCTTATAGGCACCTGTATATATTTAGCTCCTTTTCTTTATCAGTTGTTTTGCAGAGGCAGCAATGATGACAGAAATTTTAGCCTCTAAAAAGTAATGCAGTCCAAACTGCTTCTGTTCAGAGGCTTCAGCATCTCTGAGGAGCAGCAAGAAAATGAGTCCCTAAATACAGAAGTCACATCTTCCTCACTCACACTTGTTTTAAAGAATTGAAATACAAAAACTAGCATAGACATGACTACCCATGACCAAACCCCAGAAGGAATTCCAAAGAAAAGAGGTAAAAGCTAATCTGTGGTATGCTCAAACATTAAGCAGCAGTATAGATAATACTATAGATAATACTATATAGATATACTATAATTATGCCTAATATTGACGCCGTTTCCAAAAAGAATCAGGTCTTTTTCTGCTGGCCAGTAAAAATACAGTTTTTCAGTTCTTGTTGGTAAAAAAGAGGAGTTTGCCCACAGAGTTAAGTTGGGAGTGTTAAATTATGAGTTTTTGATAAATTAGGAAAACCTATTTTCCTGTGGTTTGTGGGCATAGATAAAAGTTACAGATTAGTCTGGATCTTTGGCTGCATAAGTTAGCATTTTCAAAAGGGCCTAGAAATGTGGAATTGTGGTCTAAGATTTGCAAGGATACTTCATTTGGGGCAGAAGTGTCATAAAAGGACTAAGTCCTGTGAAATTATCAGAATTTCATTAACATTTCAAATGCTCTCTTTCACTATTTGAATCCCTGTCACGATGACTAAAATCTTTATAAAAATCAAAACTTTTCCACTATCTTTCATTTTAACAATGAAAACTGAATAAAGAAGGATTTTCCAAAGCGGTATTTTAATTAATACATTTTGCACTATAACTAACTTCTGGGAATTCAGATATGCTTGCACAGGGGGACTTTAAAATTTAAATATTCCTAATAAGCTTTTTCTTACAGTTAATGCTAATTGAGGACTACAGACAAGAATGATTACTCTCCTACTAAAATAATTCCTCAATTGAATTACTACAAGAATACCTTTTGTTCTTTTGTGGGTTATAGTCACAATTTATATTCAGGATTGGAGTATTGTGATTTTGCTATCAATCTTTTTACCAGGTCCTTTTTTTTCAGAACAGTTTTATAGTTTTGTTTGCTGTGGTACTCCCAAATTAGACACAACAAGACCAGAAACCACAATAAAAATTGGTAAGCAGTGCTGGAGTGAACAGTTTTTGGTCTCTCCAAACATGAATTGCTCAACTGGTAAAGCTGAGTCTAAACTGGAAGTATTGGAGCAAATGAGTTACAATAATACACAAAAGACAAAGAAAATAATAGTTTGAATTCTAGGATGCCATGCTGTTAGGTATAATTTCTCAAGCCAAGAAGCCAGTAACAGAAGGAGGCCAGGGACTGTGACTTTATCACTGGATGTAGTATCCCTGCTGTTCTCTTATTTCTGTATATTGGCTTTTGCAACCTGTATAACAGTCTCCATATGTTGGGATGCTAGTTTTTTACAGTTCTACTAGCAGGTTAGTTCTTAAAAAACGAGTGGGAAATTCAGAGTACAGAATATGTAAACCAAACAAGTTGACTTCTAGTAAATCCCCTGCACTGTTTGTGTTTAATTTCCAACATGCTTCCACTCTTCAGCTTGTTGGTTTAGGACACAACCTAACACATGGCACAAGCCAAAAGTGAGAGATTACTGCAGAACAAAGCAATGCTGCAAAGCTGATTTTGCAAAGCCATTTTATATGAGAGAGTTGCACAAAGCACATTATGTGTTTCTCTTCCCTAAATGCTCACTTAGAAGATGGACTTTGCTGGATAGGCTTGTAAAAACTGGGTGCATCTCTGTATTGTACAAACAAGTTGACCGCCCAGCTGGTGAAGTATTCTACTCTTCTGGAACTCTCTAAATGCCTTGCAGGGCAAATAAAATTAAAATTTTACATATGTACCATGATCCTCTCAATGGGACGAGGTTGTTTCACACTTTTAGGATTTTTTTTTAAATTAGGGAAATTAAAATGGCACTATAAATTAATCTATGTTTATATTGTAATTTGATAGTGTATTTCTCCACTGTTCAGAGGAAAACATCACAGTAAATCATAATAAGACTCTAATTTCTGTCTGAACTCAGATTTTGTTTCAGAATCAAATATTCTCAAGGAATAGAAAGAAAAGTTTCCTTTTTTATTTACCACCTAACATACTCAGCTTCCTGCCATTTCCTTTCTCAGAATGTGATCTTGCGATCCTTCT